AAAAAAAAAAAAAAAAAACTGAGGCAGGAGGATCGATTGAGACCAGGAGGTTGAGGCTGCAGTAAGCTATGACTTTTGCCTCAGCCTCCCTGCTGGGATTACAGGTGTGAGCCACCATGCCCAGCTTATATATGAATTTCATATGAAAGTTATACATAACTAAAGTTCAACTTTATTACACCCTTTTCTACCTTGTCTCTCTGAGGAGCTTGCCTTCTCCTTCCTAGCACTTGACATATACTTCTAGCACAGCACCATATTCTAGTGATTGAACTAAGCTTCTCCAAAGCAGGCACATGTTTATTCATCCTTGTATTGCTGGCACATGGAATATAAAATGTTTGTTGAATTGGAGATTTGTTGATTGGGTCATGTGAGGAAAGCAAGAACATCGGATGGTGCCCAAACGTGGACATCATCTGACATATCATACTCCAAAAAGTATTACATTCCTATCACTGAAGAGAAAAAAGGATATTTGAAGTGAGTGGCCAAGGAATACAGATGAAAGGTTAAATGGCTGACAGAGCTTTTGGAGACATCAAGCTCACTGAACGGCACTCACCTTAGCTGGCTTGTTCCTCTCCAAGGTTGATCGCAACTGAGTTACATATACACACAAGGTCAGTCTCACTCCATGCCTGTCTATTGAAACACGGTGTGTGTAATATGATCTTTAATCATTCTGTGAAAAACTAATCAATGGGAGCCCTTATCAGGTTCAAAGATATAAGGACAGGTGTGAATACTGAAAAAAAAAAAAAGGAACTTCCAGTTTCTAATGGAGGTATATAAGAAAAATGTGGAAGGGAACTGACATGTGTAAAAGTTTACAGGGGCAGAGTCAAATGCTTCAGGATCACCAAACCCATTTTGTTTTCTTTCTGGGCAACATTTCCCAAGTTTCCTAAGTTCAGTTCCTATAGCAGTCTTCATGTGGTTAATGGAATGTGGGTAGAAGTGGCAAATTCCACTTTCAGGCTTGGCCAATACAAGTTTCCTTGATGGAAATCCCCATTCTCCCTTGTGGGAGCCTTGGAGACCATATATTAAAAATAATGGCATCAAAAGATAGAAAGAGTCTGGGTCCTGAATGACTGCAAGAAGCAGGCTACACTCCCCCCCGCCACCCCAATTGCTGGCTATGCTGAACTGTGATGTGAAGAAATAAACTTGTGTTAGGTTACTGACTTGGGGAGTCGTTTTTTACAGCAGTTAGATCACCCTGTTGTGTACTGAATATGATCCACACACACACTCATACTAAATAAAAAATAGCTGAAGGATTAAAATAACAGCATAAATTAACATTAAATGAGACACTATGACCAATCAGAATGACTACCAGACTAGGGAGGAGGCTATATGTGTTCAATACACTCTTTAGCCATGTGACCTTAAGCACTTAGTCTTGTAATCATAAAATAAGGGTGCTGGACTAAGTGAACTGAACGGTAAGAATCTTTCCAGCAATGTAGTTTTCTAACCCCATGAATATTAGAAGCTTTATCACAAGGGAGGCTTGGTTAATTGACAACGAGCCTCAACAATCAAGCCAGGAGTCGCAAAAAGAAAGGAAGGGGCTGGACTGGCATGGAAAGGCTTCAGAGAAGAGGAAGTTGAGCAAGTCTTGAAGGGTACACAGAATTGGGTAGAGAAAAATAGGTCAGAGGGTACTACGAGCAACAGAAACACAGGCAGAGTGCTGTGACTGCACCAGACTAATCAGAAAACAATGACTTGACCAATGCAGCTCAAAAGGAGCACACTTTTGTGTGGCTATGAAAGAAATGAGACCCAAAAAGTAGACTAGACCCAGAATGTGGTCTGGACTTTATCTCTCAATTGGTGTTAAGGGTGAGTCACAGAAGGTTTCCTTGAAAAGAATGGCAGGATATTTAACCATAGGGCTAAAGACTGGCCAGCTTTAAAGAGAAGGGTATGAGATCCAGAGAGAGTCAGCAGGGAGCTCCTGCCATACTGGATTTGTGAGGTAACCATGGAGGGCCTGTGGTGAGAGAAAGATGGATAAGGAAGACTTCAAAATAAAATTCATAGGCCTCTGAGTCAGCAGATGTGACAGCTAAAGAGGGGAGATGCCTGCCATTTCTAGTAGGTGATAGGCAGAGTGGTTGTGTTCTTTGAAGGAAATGAGGAAGCCGAGAAGAGCACTGGTTTGGAAGAAAATGACACAGGTGGCTTCAGGCACATTGGCTCTACCATACTTCCCCACAGGAAGGTCAGACAGAAGGCCTAGAATTCAGAAGGAATTTGAGACTGGTGATATAGATTTGGAAATTACAGAATTTGCCAACTGCAGGTAACTAGGATTTCTCTGCACTTGCCCTTCTCTGTTCTCCAAAATCTTCCAAGTGCTGGTTCCCACCTTTTAGACCCGTGGAACAGGAAGGACACTGGCTCTGTGCTCACATCCTCTGAGGTTGGTGTGTGCCTTTCTCTGAGCTGTCAACTCCTGCAGACGTCTCAGTTTTTAACTCTGCACTGCGTTCCAGGCATTCATGGGGCAACTTCCTCTGCTTTCCCCATTCCTGAGATATAGGATCTATTAGGCAACTACTCTCTATCCACATTATGCTCAGTTCTGAAACCGTCAACCCTATTCCAATTAATTTCACGATTCCTAGCCTTAAGTCCATTGTCAAGATTCCATGTGGAGTGACCATTCAAAAGAGGACCTTCTCTTCCATCTCTTAAAGAAGCCAACTTAAGTACCTGAAGTATCTCTAATCACCCAACTTCTTAGCTGGTTACTATCCTTAGAGTCTGGGTCAGGTAAAAGCAGGTTAGAAAATGGGTCTAAAATCTCCAGGACAATGAAAAGTCCATTGGTGGAGAGGGTTGGATGGCTATTCTTGAAAATACACTTGAGGTTTTCAGCACATTTGAAACAGTACCAACAAGCCAGTTAAGACCGAGTCAGGGTAAAATCTATGAAACCATAAGAAACACAGACTTAATTAAATTTTAGATCCAGGAATATAGCACAAGCAAAAATATACAAATATAAAACCACTTCGTGGTCTAAAATTGAGCTTGAGAGTATAGCACTTGGGCATCTTCCAAGAAAAATAAAAAGATTCAGGGCATCACAACAACAAAGGTTGGGAGCTGAGTGAGCCAATTGCAAATGTGAAGAATGGGAAGCAGAAATCACTCTAAAGAGACAAAAAGTCCTATCGCATAAGAATCTTGAACTTGCCGGGCTGGTGGCTCAACCTGTAATCCCGCGCCTTTGGGAGGCTGAGGTGAGTGGATTGCCTGAGCCCGTGGGTTCGAGACCCGCCTGGGCAGGCGAGACCTCATCTCTACAATAAATAAATAAAAATTAGCCTGGCGTGGTAGCGCGCACCTGTAGTTCCAGCTACTTGGAAGGCTGAGGCGGAAGGATCGCTGGAGCCCAGCAGGTCGAGGCTGCAGTGGCCGGGAGCGGCCACTGCACTCCAGTCTGGGTGACAGAGTGAGACTCCAACGCAAAAAAAAAAAAAGAATCTTGAACTTCTTAAGAAAGCTGTGCATACTAAATTCTACAGTTTAATAGTACATCCATACTAGGTGAAAAATAACCCATATGTTCCTATCCAGTTGCTTTGCAAGTAAAAGGAGCTCTCATTACAGTGCCATTTTCAAAAGAGAAAGTTGTAGAAAATTACATGCTCTCAAGACAATTTTGATTTTAGATAATAATGTTTATACATTATTTGGAACTCCTTTTTCCGAAGACTTGGGCGTATGTCTCACTTTGTCTCTCTGGCTCCAATCACTCAGCATAGTTCACTTCCTCCCCTTTATCATTGTATGATTAGCTATGAAAACTAGTTGCTGCTTTGGTAAGTGTCAGCAGACAAGAAGGCCAACGTCCAGACACTAGCTGAGCAGCAGAGTCCACAGTAGCAATTTGGTTTCTGGCTGTGTCCTACAGCAGATGAGAGAAGAAGAGTTGCTGCCTTCTGTAGGATTGTACCCAATCCTGCACCAGCACTTGGAAACTTGTGCCAGAGGTAGCTCCAGAGCATGCCACCTTCACACCCAGTGCTCAGGAAAGAGTGCTCACTGACTTAGCCACACACAATACCACGGATATGTCATGTCCTTGGTTCTCAAAGGCTGCTGGGCACATGTGGGCTCTAAAGGTCAGTTCATCACCACCTCCCAGGACTTCTTTGCTCTTCCCTCAATTTCATGGTATCTCCCAGTCCCCGGAAAGAGCTGTTCCCATTGTTCTGGACTGAGCCCAAAAAATTCAAAAGACTGCCCCTATATCTACCCTCTGCACAGCTGGATCAGAGTAAGCTGAGCAAACCCTGCACTGTGAAGTCAAGGAGAAAGGGCTGACTCCCTCGAATGCCTTTTTTAATAAAAGCGAAGCTGGCTAGGCATGGTGGCTCAAGCCTGCAATCTCAGAACTTTGGGAGGCTGAGGCAGGAGGATCGCTTGAGCTCAGGAATTTGAAACCAGCCTAAGCAACATAGTGAGACTTTCTAATCTCTACAAAAAAATTAAAAATTAGCTGGGCAAGATGGTATGCATCTATAGTCCCAGCAACTCGGGAGGCTGAAGTGGAAGGGATAGCCTAAGCCCATAAGTTCAAGCTGCCGTGAGCCGTGATCCTGCCACTGCACTCCAGTCTGGACAAAAAGTAAGACTTTTATCTCAAAAAAAAAAAAATTAAAATTAAATAAAACAACAGCAAAAACATAAAACTGTTTGGTGAATGTCAGACTCATCTCCACTTAGACTTTACCTGGTTCTGTGACATCTTCTTTGGTCTTGGATTCCTGAAACCCAAACAATAAAGTAGCATTAATACATCACTAATAACCTCTTTACAATAAGATCTTTGCTAATGGTGCTCTTGAATGCATCTGGTGCCACATGTCACGGCATATCCACTTGCTAGTTACAAAAATCATTGATGAAAATGAGACACAAATAACAGAAACCTCAATTAACACCAAGTGCTTGCGGTACGGGCTAAGACCTAAGCCAGAGAAGCAGCTTAGCTCGTGATTTCCCCCCATTTAACATTTACTGAAAAGTTTAGCAAGCACACATGGATTACTGAGTGTTTATTAGATGACAAGCACTGTGCCATGCACTTTATTTCATACAGGTCGTCTCATTTAATCCTCACAATAACCCAACAACAAATTGTTACATTATTACTATTACTATTCCATTTTACAATTGAGAAAATAATTAACACATGTGATATGAATTGTCTCCTCAGAATGATACAAAAATAAAACAAATACAGCAAGTCCCTGCTTATAAAGAATCCAAGAGAAACAGATTCAAAATTGTACATCCCATATCACCATCACTATAATCCCCAAATCTTGACTTTTCTAAATTTGCCCAAAATCAAACAAAAAGTGTCCCTTCCTTCATTATTCCTTACTACACTACCACTGCCTTTGGTCCCTGTACATCAGCAATCTGCTTTTCTCACTCCAGGTTTCTGTGGTTTTTTTGTTTGCTTGTTTGTTTGTTTGTTTTTTGATTCAGAGTCTCACTCTGTAGCCCAGGTTGGAGTGCAGTGCAGGATCACAGCTCACGGCAGCCTTGACCTACTTCCTGGATTCAGGCAATTCTTCCGCCTCAGCCTCCCAAGTAGCTGAGACTACAGGTGCATGCCACCATATCAGCTAATTTTTGAATTTTTATATAGAGACGAGGTCTTGCTATGTTGCCCAGGCTGGTCTTGAACTCCTTCGCTCAAGCAATCCTCCTGCATCGGCCTCCCAGAGTGCTGAAAATATTACAGGTGTACGCCACTGTGCCTGGCTCCAGTTTGATTTATACTTCTTATTCTACTATATTTTCTTCATTATAACTCCCATCTCACACCTTGGGAGAACACCCTAACTCTCTTTTCATCACGCCTTAAATTTACTTACCTTTGTTAGAATTTTCTCCTCAACGACATTATGAACTTCATCTGAGGTTGTGGGCAACTGGACAGTTAACGTGAATGTTCCTTTTCCTGGCCATACTAACTCGTGATTCTTTCTCTCCAGAACCTTCTGCCGAACTGAAATGTCCCCAAAAAAGAAAATAAGCCAAGTGGCAAGCAATCTTCATTTACAAAATGATTCCATTATTTCTCAAGTCTTTTGTATCCATCAATCAACAGCCTGGTCAATTTCTCAAGAGAGGATACGTGCATTGAAAAGTGGAAAAGTTTAGCAGCAGACATGGATTTGAATTCCATCATTAAACTTATTTTAAAACATGGAGCATGTTCCTTAATAACCCTTACTTACAAAGCCTCAGTCTTCTTATCTATTAAAAAGGTTAGTAGAGATTATTTTGTACAAGTGTTAGGTGTATTAACTTGAAGAAACATTATAAAGAACTCAGTACAGGACCTGACACGCAGTAGGCTCAGAAAGGTAGCAATATTTATTCCACAGTGAGGTGAACTAAATTAAAGCACCCCCCATGGAGAGGCAGTAAAGACTGGGTGCTGGGGTATGGCATGATGAAAGCCATGTTTTAGGAAGGTGACGCAGGTGGCCATGAAAAGAATGACCAAGAGCCTAGTCAGAAAGCCATCTCAATAAGTTCCTAAGCTTGTATTGATAAGGGCCTCACATCTGATAATAAAGGGGATAGAAAAGAAGAGATGGGAGAGATTTTGCGCGCACACACACACACACACACACACACACAAATTAGCACATCAGTCACCTGAGCTGTAATGAAACAACTAAATAGTGGACATAAGAGTTCAGAGACTTCACTTTGAATTCCAACTCGCCACGAACTAGTTGAGTAACTATGAGGAAATACCTACACTTCTTAAAAAGTCCCAGTTTCCTCACTTAAAGTGGCATCTGCGAATGCACTTTGTAACAGACTCAAGAGCTGTGAAAATGCAAGTTATAAGAGGAGCAGTCATAGAAAAAGAAAAGGAGTGTATCTCAGACTGTGGAGAAAAGGAAATAAGTAAGTTTAAAGGAGGAGACACGGGAGACACGGTAGATGTGCTACGGTCAAAGAGAAAGGGAGCTTTTGTGAGTGGCTTGCTGGTCACAGGTAGGCTCTGGCATTAGTATTGGTTCCTCACGTTGTGCTGTGACGTGGTTGTCCTGATGAGGGCAAGGACATAGGTCAGAACTTCTCATAAAGGGGCCATGAGCGCTTTCCCACTTCAACCCTCCACGAAGGGGCTGGAGGAAGCGGGGCCTTCCCTGGATGCCAACTCAGAAATAGGCCCAGAAACAACCTGAGAAGAAACGCCAGATTCTCATTTTGCTTCTTTTTTTTTTGTTTGTTTTTTTTGTTTTTTTTGAGTTGGAGTCTCACTCTGTCGCCCAGACTGGAGTGCAG